GTTCTTCTACCCTCTGTTGCTCCCCTTCACACTTCCTCTTTCTCTGCGACCGTCGACAGTAAGAGACACACTATAACCTGGTGCTGGTAAGGTTTTTAGGTTCACTTCTGGAGGCTGATTTCTTCACTAACTCCAGGTTTCTTGTGGTTGACCGAATCAAGGATAAGAAATTAAGAGTCTTGAAGGTCATTCGCAATGCTCTTGCAATCGCTTCTTTTACTTGGCGTCTTGTTTTGCGGCAGTGGACAAGCGGTGGACGTTAAGCCGGTAAGTGGTTGCAAGTCGTACAGATATCCGCTTTTTGAACGAGGAAAGACCCCAATGCCCTTCGAGCAGGACGATGGAGACGTTGTGCCGAGGGTGCCTCATTCCTTTCGGGTCCCCTCACTCGTGGAGGTGGACGGGGTGCTTGTCGCCATAGGAGACGCTCGGTATTTGACCTCCGATGATAACTCTTTTATTGAAACTGTGGCAATGTTCAGCGTTGATGATGGGGACTCGTGGAAATCGCAAACGGTAATCAAGAACAGCCGTGTGAACAGTAACTATTCTCGTGTGCTGGACCCGACGATCATCGTGAAGGGGAACAATATTTACGTTCTGGTGGGGAGCTACAATATAACTTCGATCTACTGGAATTGGCAGGAAGATGGAAGCGACTGGGAGCCCCTGCTGGTTGTTGGCGAGGTAGGAAGGACAGACCCTTGCGACATAAGATCTGCGAATATTTTGTGGTCGAAGCCTGTATCGCTGAAGTCTATCTATCCGAATGAGGTTGGGGGCTATCCGTCAGTGCAGTTTCTTGGTGGTGTGAGCACGGCCATTGCGTTGCAGAATGGAACGCTTGTGTTTCCGATTCAACGACTGACTATTGCGAACAATAACAAAATCGTATGGGTGTCTGTCATGTATTCAGAAGACAATGGTAAGACGTGGACGTTTGCGGAGGGAAACGCGGAGCAGGGCTGCTCTGAGCCGTCGATATTGGAATGGGAGGGAAAGCTCATCATGAATGCGAGACGGGACGATGGTTATCGTAGGGTGTACGAGTCGACGGACATGGGAGAGACGTGGTTAGAGGCGCGGGGTACGCTCTCTCGTGTGTGGGGCAACTCACCAAAACGTGTCGGCCCCGGTAGTCAAAGTAGCTTTATTCCGGTGACCATTGAGGGGGTGCGTGTGATGCTGTTTACGCACCCGCTAAATTTCAAGGGGAGGTGGGATCGTGACCGGCTCCACCTGTGGGTGACGGACAACAGGCGCATCTTTGACGTTGGCCAGATTTCCGTTGGTGACGAGAACAGCGCCTACAGTTCCCTGTTGTACACAAAGGGTGGTAAACTGTATTGTCTGCACGAGACCAATAAGGGTGAGGTGTACAGTCTTGTCTTTGCTCATTTGATCAACGAGCTGGAGTTGATAAAATCCGTGGTGAGGACATGGAAGGCACAAGATAACTACTTCTCGTACTTGTGTACTAATAATTGTCCTGTGCCTTTTCCTGCAGCTGGGCTTGTTGGGTTTTTGTCTGACCATGCAGATGTAGGGAACTGGAGAGACGTTTATCGCTGTGTTGATGCAACTGTGGTTAATGGTGAAAAGGTTCCCAACGGCTTCATATTTAAGGGACCCGACGGTGGGGCGCGCTGGCCAGTGAGCAAGCAGGGGCAGAACCAACGCTATCAGTTTTCAAACGACAGGTTTACGCTTCTGGCGACTGTGATAATCCATCACGTTCCAACTGGTGCGGAGCCTATTCCAATTCTGGGGCTTGAAAACGGCGGAGAACAGAGCGTCAGATTCTTGGAGCTGGCGTACACCAGCGAGAAAAAATGGCGTCCCACGTTTGGGGCGAAGGAGGCTCGTCCAACTTCGGCTTGGGAGCTGAACAAACCGTTCCAGGTGGTGCTCGCGATGGCGGGGAAGAGGCTCTACGCTTACGTTAATGGCAAGATGCTGGAGGGTTCCGGCGTGGAGCACGGGTACGACTTATGGAAGGTGGACATCTCCCACATTTACATTGGTGGGCGGGCGACGAAGAACACAGATGCAGGCAATCAGGTGACAGTGACCAACGTCCTTCTGTTCAACCGTAAGCTGAGCGACGACGAGTTGCGGTCATTTATGGTGACCGCTAACCAAATTACGGTGGCGCCAGGGCTGGAGGTGGAGGAGAAGCTGGAGTGTGTTGTTCAAGAAACCACCATCGAGCCCAGTGCTATTACTCCCTCTTCTGTTTTATCTGGAACAAAAGAATTTGATGAAGTGAATGCCAATACCGCAGCGACGGGAGAGAACAGTCCGGGAATGAGATGCGATGGCAGCCTCAGCCCAACATGTGTGACTATGTGTCACCTGCCCTTGCTTCTCCTCCTCCTCCTTGGTTTGGGGAGCTGTGTGGCTGCGTTGTGAGCGTAACAAAGTATATATGCCATGCGAACGAAACTCATGTGCGTCCCTGCTGAGTGAAGACATTTTGTTATTTGGGGGACTTTTAATTACTCTTGCTTTTGGTGCTGCCCCCT